GGTGGAAGAGAGTGGCAGAGGGAAGCAGTTCACATGGTGATCAGCAAACAGAGAGACTCTACCTTCCAGATTCAAAATATATACTCCATAGCCACACCTCCAATGAACCACCACCTCCTCCAGCCACACCCCATCTGCCTCCAGTTACCACCCCGTTAATCCTATCAAGGATTAATGTGCTGATTAGGTTAAGGCTATAACCCAACTGTTTTGTCTCTAAATCTTCTTGCATTGTCTCAAACATGAGCTTTTGGGGGACACCACATCCAAACCATAACAGTGGGGTAAGACTCAGCAATATTTACCCAAAGTCAACAGTGACTGTGCCAAGGTATTTGTGCTCTAGAAGACTGCGAATGCTCTGTCAGGTCTACGAAGTTATGGCTTTGATGCTCAGCCTACTGTGCTCCCCAAGTCAGACTGAATGTGAGCCTGAATGGCATCTGAGGCCAGAATGGAGACTTGCTCAGCTTAGGAAATCAGAGCATTGGAGAGCTGGGACGGATCTTCCTGGGGATTACCTGGCTCAGCCCTTGCATTTTATAGATGAGAAAACTAAGACTGAGTTGAATGTGAGAGGAAGCCTAGCTCTCATCTGCTCCTACTTTTCTTTTTTATTTCTTTTTTTAAATAGTTGTGCAGCCTTGGACAAGTCACCTGCCCTTTCTAAGCTTCTGCTTTCTTTACTTAAAACTGAGGAAGCTTAATCATAAATCCTCTAAGAAGACCAGTCTATTTCTAAGAGCTAATATTTCAATGTGACACACTGACCCCAGGAGTTTATATTCATCTCTAACTAGTACATCATGCCATTAAAATTAGGCATTACCATCTAGGATGCTGCTGCTTCTTGAAGTCTTAAGATTAAAAAAACAAAAACAAAAAAACATCATTGAGGGGCTAGGGTTGTTGCTCAGTGGTAAGAGCACTTGCCTAGCATGTATGAGACCCTGGGTTTGATTCTCAGCACCACATATAAATAAATGAGTAAAATAAAGGTCCATCAACATCTAAAAAATATTTTTTAAAAAAAGCATCCTTGATAGGATTGTGTGCTGAAAGGCCTGAAACTCTGTGCTCTATTTCAGGGAAAACCCAGTCATAATCCAACATCATTTGATGGAACATTGGACTATAATTTGGTAGTTCTCTAGGACTGAATAATGAGAAACTGTGAACCTGGCCTCATAAACTTAAATGTATAAGATGAAAGCAATGTTTTATGCAGGTGGTATGTATGTTTATTGTAATACTTCTTAACTTCTAGGAGAACAGGAAAATATTAACTCTAATTTCCATAGGAAATAAGGTGATTATAGTGATTTGGTCAAAAATTAGAAGAGTATTAGAGATTCTGTTGATCTCTATGAGAAACCAAATACTGAGTTTAATGGATCATATCAGACATGTTATGGTGAGTGGGGGGTGGAAAGAGAGGCCTAGAATTGATGATTAATTTGTATAACTGGCCAATTAACAAATATGACTTTATGGAAGAAGAAGAAGGAGGAGGAGGAGGAGGAGGAGGAGGAGGAGGAGGAGGAGGAAGAGGAGGAGGAGGAGGAGAATTGGCACTTCTAAGGCCCCGTCTTTGTTCCAGATGACAAAGGAAGCATCAGAAAGTATATCCTGCCACCAGGCCTCACTCTTGGTCCCTGGATTCTTTGGATTTGGCTTTGTCCTGAGGTCATGACTTTCTAAACTGGAAAGCTGCTGATGCTTGATTTGGATGCGGTGGCTCAGACTCTCTGGCATACATGTGACCATGGCCTCATCCAGCTGGAGTTTCCATCACATTCAAGCTAATGTCACCCTGAGCTAACAGGAAGCCATCTTTAGTCCTTGCAAATCCTAGATACAGAAGTTCATACATAAAAAGCTCTCAACTTTTATTATTCTTCTCGAATGGTGCTTTTCATGCAAAACGTGTTTGGGAAAAGTAATTTGTTCTCTTTAAGCTCTTAGACACTCTCAAACATTTCTTTTTCATTTTTAAAAATAGGGCCTGGGCCATCCATCAGGGTGAGTAGTTTGAGAATCAAGACTATAAAGGAAAGACAAAGTTCTCAAGGCCTGCAGAAGTTGTTCTGCTCTGGGCACCATGGTCTGCAAGGCTTGGTGGAGAACTACAGCTTCCTCACCTTCCTTTCCTGACTTATACTCACTGCCAATTTGTGGACTTGCCCATAAATTCTGTTTCTTGCATTAACCCCTCATCAGTATTGATTTCTCATCTGGCTGCTGCACTCACCTGGTGTCTTTCCCAGACTACTCCTGGCAGACTAAATTTTATCATGGAGCTCTCTTGACCTGCAAGACTGGCCTATTCCCAGCTTGGATTTCAATCACTCTCAGCTTGTCAGTGATATCCTAGTTGTTAGAATCAGAGTCTCCACTTTTCTCTCTACCTATAGCCTTTTCTTTTCAAATCAGAGATAGTAGTGGAAGTGCTAGTAGGGGTGTTGGAGGAAACATTTTTTGCTTTCCTGGTCTCATGGACCTGGGAACAAACTTCTTAGATAATCTTTAGTTACTGGAATAACTGCAGTTTTTTTATTCCATGAAAACCTCATAAGTGTGTTATACTTAGGTTTATTTTACAAGGGAGTGTTCATTGGCTCTTTCTACTGTGAAATGAATGAATGTTGGTACAAATCAAATCAAGTAACTCTTTTTATAGAAATAAATTAACAAACCAGCAGAAAAGCACTTTCTATAAAGCACAGAAATATTATACTATTATAACTACAGTTAAGTATGTGAGTGGTATTGCATACCTATTTTATCAAATCTTAAAAAGCAAAAACATAATTGAATCTAATGAGTATTGGCAACCAATTCTCCCTTTATTTTGTTTTTGCAAATGACTTGCTATATGGGCCAGTGTGATCAGTTTCTCTTAGTGTGAAAATGTATATTTATGATTCATAGTAGTGGTTAAAAACATGATGTCAGGAGTTGAAATCTCAGGTCCTGAACCTGGCTCTACTTATTAGCCACAGATCTTGGACTGAAAAATGTCCTTCTCTGGAAAATAGAAATAATAGCCACGCTGACCTCACAGGGCAGTTGTGAGTTTTAAATGAATTAATATGTGCAAAGTGCTGAGTTCCATGCCTTGCATATAGTAATTACTTAATAAATATCAATTTTCATCATCATCATTATTATATATTATACACAGGAAGAAAAAGAAAATAGTCAAAACTCAGAAAAAGACTTTTAAAAGTACTGGAATGACTTTGTGAGATTGAGAAGAGGAAAACAATAAAGTTAGGTAGAAGAAATATATGTATTTATATTTATCTTTTTAAAAATCCACAAATAATTCCAATCTTGGAAGTAGTCTTCCTCGGCCATGCATAGAGTGCTAACTATCATATTCACTGAGTCCTTCATTCTATCAAGATTGTAATCACCATTAAGTTGGCTTTAAACCAATCAAATGAGCCTGACTTGCCAGTCATACATTGCTTTTCAATGTCATGCATGTTCTTAAAATTTTAAAAGGCTCCTAATTTATGGTAACCCAACATGTGCACGGTACTTTGGGTAGTCTACGAATCTGGCACAATGAAAATCCCCAAATGGCCAGCATCCTGGGACCTGTTGCGTCAGCTAGCATAGGGTAATGGTGAAAGGTAGAGGAAGGACAGAAAGGGAAAGAACAGAATGCCTTCTAACAGTGGGCCATTATTTCCTTTGTCATATTTTGGTTTCTTTAAAAATGTTCACTTGCATTTAAGTCCCCAAGAGCCACGAAAATTAGGTTGAACAATGGCATGGATTTGTGAAAAGATTCCTTAGATAACATTTGAAATACACAAGCAGCCCTTGAACCTTTTTTGCATCCAGTAACATCTGACAGGCTTTGTGAGCCGCAGCCACCTGCAAGAGTTCTAAAATAGATGCTTTCATAAAACAGAGCATTCTCAGAATTGATGTGTTAATATCATTCTCTTAATTACTTGACATCTGACCTAAGTAGCGGTAACAAGCCGATTCTGGCCAAAGTAAAAGGGAGAGTTGAGACTGTCATTCATATATTTTTGGCTTCAAGAAAGAAAAAAAAAAAAAAGAAAAAGGACAGCCACTGAGAAAAATAAAAGCATTTTATGGTATCAGTTAGGCAGATTGTCTCCCCAGCTGAAGTTCACTAAATAATTACTTAGTCTACCACTTCATTTTTCCTATGTATGTCAGCTTAAATTTTCAACAATACAAAGAGTGTACTGACTGTTGGGGGTGGTGAGATGGGGGTAGCTTCCCTCGGGGGCATGGAATCCTCAAAGGAAAATGTATATTATAGTGACTTTGTTTATGGAGGTTTCGCAAAGCATGAAATAAAACATATAGAAGTAAATATTGGTTTAAAAAAAAAAGCATTTAGAAGCTTGGGGGGGTGTCCAAATAATGGAAACCTCATTAAAAGATAGAAATTATAGGTCTGAAATTCAAGTTAAATCAGTAACTTCTACTAATCAAACCAAGGCTCCCTGTGTGGGTCACATCCCAGCTGCTTATTTCCCAGCCTGAGACAAGGTTTTATTTCCTATTTGTCTTTCTTTTTTTTTTTTTTCAAACTGTCAACACTGCAAAGCCAATACAGCTGTGGGGAAGGCAGCTGTGAGGTTCTGCCTCCCACTTCGTCAGCCAAATTGTCAGCTCGGTTTTTCTCTATTGCTGGTACTGATGGGAGAGCGCCGTGGGCTGAGGACTGGCTTATGTCAGTAAGTTCTGTGTTTAGAGGCATCTCTCCTAGACCTCTCTGATCATCTTTCCCTCCACCTAAATTCTTCCATTTTTTTTTTCTGTCATTTTTTTCAGTTATAGAAAGATCCCACTCAGGAGGCAGTTCTGATCCCCATTAAGTCCTTAATCTGTAGTTATAACCGCGATTATGTGCTTCACAACTCTTCTCCCCCTTCCTCCTCTGATACCCCTCTTCCCCTTCCTCTTCTGATACCCCTCTTCCCCTTCCTTCTTTTTTGATGGCTACATAGTACCCCACATGGAAGACCCACACTTTTCCACAAGCGACCACAGGATGAATATCTGTACAGACACCATTATCTTTATTTCTGATCTTTTTCATCAAGTGGCATTGGCTGGCTAAAAGGTGATGAGGTTTCTGGAGGTTTCTGAAGCATGGTTCCAAATCACTTTCCTTTCTGAATCTCTCATGTGGGAGAGGAATGTGTTTTTTTTCTCCCCTCGATATGATGGGGAGCCACGCCACTCCTCAAAGCTGTATTTCCAACTCTGCCTGATACAACCAGTGCCGATCCCTGGTGCCCTCGCCTTGGGCCTCCCATGCAGTGGTATGACTGGGTCTCCGGACTTGGGATGCACCCTGGGAACTGGGGCCTCATGGCTTGGAGAACAGCAAATCACATAAGTTGCTCAGGCTTGTACCTCTGAGACACAGACTTTGAATGAAATGAGGAATAGTGACTTTTTCAGGGATCTATAAAGATGAACTGCAAAGAGACTCTGGAGAGAGAAATGTGATGAGGAGAGAGATGATATTGAGGGCAGGCATTTGAGGAGGGCAAGGTCAGTGGGAGCCAAGTCAGGAAGGCTCCCCAGAGGAGGAGCTGAGCTTGCTGGCAGGTTGCCTAAGGACCATTTCTGATTGCCAAATGTTATTCAACTGAAATTTCTCCAATTATTCCATCAAGTCTTACTTGCACAAAGGCATCGTGTGTGTTTGTGCACATGAGTAACTACATGGGCTTTGCCCTTCTCATATGCATAATTTGTATGATTTCATTAGACAAAAAAAAAAATACATGAATTTCTTCCTTAAAGCATTGTAGATAGTTCTAAAGTTAACTCAACCACTATCGCCCATCCCCTACTTCCTAGTTCCTGATGTAACTGTTGTCAGCTTGGTGTCTATGCTTTCATAGCTTTTTTCTAGAAACTTACATCCACATATATGTCTGTATAAAATATACAGAGTAATTCCTAAGTGTGGACACATTTTATATAAATAATGCTATACTGTATGCATTGTTTTGCAACTTACCGGGAGAGAGCCACATCTTGGCCCATTATTATCATTTTTTAATTGCAGGTAAATCTAAAATCCTGTCTGTCATCCCAATCTTAGTCCACTCTGCTTTCCGAGGTAAGTTCTGTCACCATTTTAGAGGACATCTTTGATGGTGATTTTATTTTATACCTCTTCTGTATATTCATTCTTCAACATCTAATTGCAGTCAGAGAATCTTAAAACCATGAGGATTTTCTGTAGACTCTCTGGTCCAGCCCCCTTATTGAATAGATGCAGAAATAGTACAGGTCATGCTTATTACCTGGGTCTTGGTGTGCGTGACCCTCAGTGAGTTATGTTCTTACTGCTGTACATTGCTTCTAGCAACTTCCACTCAAATGGCTCACATGGAAAACATCCTTAATAGCATCCTCATTCACAAAGAGTCTGTGTGTGATGGTCTCTCCTTTACCAAGAGGTAGGCTTCAGGGGGAAAGCATTGGACAACCAACATCAGGTATGAGCTACGTAAGGAGCCATACTTCCTTAAGCAACTGGGAAGAAGACGGTCCTTTGGTGTGACCTCCTGATACCACAGTTGAGACAAGACCTTGGTTCCGACTCTCTGGAACCTTCAGTAGCGTAAGATTTCATTTTGAGGCTGACAGTTTGAAGGCCAGCTGCCACCTTTTGGGTTTCTAATGATGTCAGAGGCAGAAAGAGCACAGCTTGACTCTTGAGTTTCAGGTTCAGTCCATTTCGGGGACAAGCAGAAAGAAAAAAGAAAAAAAAAAGAAAGAAAAGAAAAGGAAAAAAAAAAACCCTTTGGCTCACAAAGTAAGAATCTTTGAAATGAAAGTTGTGCAGAGAGTAAATATGGAGCCTCACAATGCCATCTCTAGAGCCGCGTTTCAGAACACAAGGGCACTTCCTCTCTGTAACAGAAAGCCAAGAGATGTCATGTTCCTTAATTAAAACGTACCTCAAGAGTCAGTGGGAGGCTCCCGCACAGCCCCTACCTGAAGATGCCGATTTACAGAAAAATTCCAGCCGTGGGATTCATACAAGGGACACGCTGGCAATTGTGAGTTTCTTTTAAAATCGGCTTCTGTCTGTCATACCTATGTAGTTACAAAATCAAAGGGGATAATAAAGTTCAATTGTATATTCACAGTTTGATATTTCTATTGACAGGTCTTACACAAAAAAACACCATTTCAGGAAACTCGGATTCTGTGTCCCTCAATGAAAGGCACTGAAAGGCTCTCCTGGGTTGCAAATCCCCACCCAACAATCCCTCTAAATCTGAATCTATGAAGTGGCCCCATCAAGGTTCAAAGGTGTCAAATTGGGCCTCCTCTCCCCAGGCTCTGTTTGTGATTTTAAAATACCCCTCTGATGGTGAGGGAAAAAGGAAACCATCCAGACCAAGCTACAACTGAGTTGGAAATCCAGCTCCTGAGTAGGAAGAGGAGTTAACCCAACCCTTCCCACACCACAGAGGGAGATGAGAGCCTCTTAGACCAGGAACTACCCTCCTCTCTGCCCAGCTGCCCCCACCTCACCCATGCAGGCAGGGCCTATCGACTCTGAATAAGAGTTCTCACGTTTTAAAAATGTCTATTTCACCACTGTGGAAATCTTCTTCAGGGCCACTAGAAAACCAACATGCAGGTGCCTCTAATTTTTTGAGAAGATTTCTCTTGGAAAATAGGAGTGGGTGTTCCACTAGATTCAAACCCAGCAAGTCTGTTCTTGTAATAGTGTATGGGACTAGGCTTACGCAAGAGCGGAGCACATCTGAATGCAAAAATTAAATGGAGGAATTGGGGGGGGGGCAGAGAACAGGTGCTCTTTTATAAAGGCTAAATTCCATATTTACCAAACTGATTTGCATGAGGCATGTTTTCAATGAAAATATTGCTACTCATTTTGCTGCATTTGTGCAACAGAAACATAAGGATAGAGCAGAAGAGGGGCGCGGTGCTCAAGCTGTCTTCTTGCACCTACCCTTCAGACGACAGCTAAGTGGCACATTTAGATTAGCTCTCAGAACTTCTTGGCTTCCCACAGCCAAGACAGCAGGACTTGAGGTTTCCTGTGACCCCAGGATACAGCCTCTGGGTAAAGAGATGGCTGAAAATCTAAAAGGGATGGGGAAAAGTCATTTGTTCCATTGATGATCATTAAAAAACAGCAACTAAATCCCCTCAGGAGAAGACTTCCATTCCAAGTTCATTCCATGCCTCATCTTAGTAACCCTGGCCAGCATTCATTCTTGCTACCAAGAATGTTTTTCTTCCAGTCACAAACCTTTCACCGGGGCTTCATTTCCTTAAATCTAGAATGAAAAATGCTGTCATGTTATTTACATTCTTAAATCAACCCTAGGTCAAAGGTACAATTACATCCCCATTTCATAGATGAAGAAAGAGAGGCAGAGAGAGATGAAGGCACTGGCCCTGGACCACCCCGCAAATACATGTAGACCCAGAGTATGATACCCGGGTTTCTCACTCCATGAGATGCTACCTGGTTGTAAATGGAATTACTAACAGCACACCAAGGAAGCTCCAGAGGAATGGACCCCATGCCAGAAATGAAGCAGAAATTGGAATAAGGTCAGGTGGACAAGTGGCCAGTGGAAAGTGCTAGGGCAATGGCTGGCAGGTTGCCATGTGAATATACACAGATTGACTCAGAGAAGGGGAGATAGCAAGCCAACTCCAAGGAGCTGGGCCAGGCTCTTGGGTATTTATTGTCCACATTCCCCCAGACTCCAGAGAGTTCTAATGGCAATTTCAATGGACACATATACTTTAGCTCTTCTCCAAGCGGTTAAAGAGTTCCAGAGTCACCATGAAGTTTTTAATTATCTCTGAGAGTTTGCTCAGAAAAGGTCTTTGAAGAGCATCTTACAGAGAAGCTGAGCTTCACTTTTATTCTTTGGAGTCAAATTCAGAACCAGTCTAGGCCTGCAGGTGTTTGGGACTTGGAGGTTCTTTTGCCAAACAGAAACCTAGACAAACCCTGTAGCTTCACGGGCTCTCAGTTGACCTAAAAACTGCTAATTTTGGAGGTCACAGAGCCGTGCGCTACATTCTTCCTCTTCCACCAGCTCTGCCGTGGATCACACCTCTGGCATGCGTGTTATGATGATGACGGTTGCCTAGGTTACTTTTCAGAGACTTGAAGGCCGCTTTTGCTGGAGACACTGACTCTACACTTGGGCCCGCCAGTGTCAGATGGGAGACTGGAATGGATGAAAAGGCTTGGTGTTTCTGCCTTTATACCGTGTCTGTCTCTTTTGCTTCCTTAACCTCTGGGTCAGATTTCTACTCAGCTCTGCACATAGACATGTTGAACATTTGAGAAATGTTTTGTCCAGAATAATAATACAGGGTTAACTGGAGCTAGACTCTCCTTCCCCTTCAAGACTAAAGACACATCTCCCAGCTGCCATGACAAGAAAGAAACACCAGACTATGAGTGAACAGAGGTCGCACCAAGTTCCTGGAGGATCTCTGCCTGTTCCCAGAATGACATGAATATTCCTTTCATCAGCCTCTCTTTCTCCCTCATTATTCCTGTCTTATGTCCATAACCCCTCAACTCTCTGGAGTTGAGAAGCTGATTTGCGAGCAGAGCTTCCTGTTCATTCTTTGGCCACTGAATAAAGCTCTTCTTTGTCCCTGACACTCATCTCTTGTGCCTTGGGATGAGCTTCCAGACCTGGGTTTGGTATGGTGACAGTTCCAGTCAGAACCTCGAGGTTCCAGGTGAGGGGTATGGCCACACCTGCTGCTGACAGAGTCTGACCACTGGGGAAAGAACCCAGGCAGCACCTCTTCCCAGCTTGTGGCTTAAATGGAACACCCTGGAGAGCCACACACAGAGCAAGCATGCTCTCAAGGAAGCTGATGGCTTCCGTGTTGAGTTCTGAGTTCAAACTTAACTGAGTTCTTAGATCGCTTCTGTGCTCTAAGAGAACAGGATTCCCTCCCTCACCACTCAATGGGCTTGAAACAATCATCTCCTCTTTCTCTAGGACTACCAACTCAACTGGTTTTCCTACACTTTCCCTTGGCTAGCTGTGGAAATTCCGTATCAGTTTGCATTTGCTTAGGTAAATGGCTTGTTTAATCTAACAGCTTGCAGTCTAGCATTTTGGCTTATAGAAGCACCAAAGCTTAATTAAAATGGGTAAAATGGACACTGGCTAGAACCAGCATTTCCAAACCCACCCACAATGGCCTCCAACTCCCTGTAAGTGCCCCCCAGGACCTTCAGTAAATTACTTTCTGGGATTCTCATGCTGAATTTGGGGTGCACCTGAGGAATATGATTAGAAAAAATGTTCTATCCATAGAAATATGCACTTGCCAGGGGAAAACCCAGCAAAGAAAATAGGGATCTTCTAGCTGTACACAATTGTGACAATCCGTTTTAATTATCTTTATAAAATCCCTTATTTCTAAGAAAGCAGGAATTCAGTGTGGCGATATGAAATCTTTCCATCCCTGCAGCCCACCTCAGAGACTCACCTAATTCTGTGGGGCCTATATAGCACAGGTTGTGACCTGTTGTGATGGTTGTAGTCTGATTGTTGGTCTACTTTTTAGTGGAAAGAGGTGGAGAGAGGAAGATTTCATGTACCCAAGTAAAAATTTTGAAGAGTGAAATGAAATTCACATTTCTCCCTCCCCCTGAGCTACAGATGCTCATTTGTCATCCCAAAGGTACCCCCATTCTTATTTTCACATTGTACCTTCTCTGCGTGAATAAGCTTATAATATGTGTACATATCAGTTATATTACACACATTTTATACACACATCAAAGGTTAAGATCACAAATTTAACTCTGGAGGTTAGGTTTGAATCCTGACTGTGCCGTATAGGACCTATGTGACCTTGGGTGAGCTTCTTAACCTCTCTGGATCTTTATTTCCTCAAAACTGAAACAACCAGGTACAGTGGCACATGCCTGTAATCCTAGAAACTCAGGAGGCTGGGGCAGGAAGATAGCAAATTTGAGGCCAACCTGGGCAACTTAGTGAGACTCTGTCTTAAAATAAAAAATAAAAAGGATTGTAGCTCTGTTGTAGAGCATTCCTGGGTTCAATCCCTAGTACCAGAAAGGGAAAAATGAAACTGGGATATTAATGGTACCTACTTCAAAGACTTAATAATTAATTGACAAATATCAAAGATTTGGAATAGTGTGTGCAAGACACAAGATAAATAGAAACTTTTTTGCCCACTACTTCACTATATATCTTAGAACTTTTTCTACATTGATTTCTATATTAACTTTAGATTTAAATGTATTTAGTGGCTGAATACTGTTTTGGTATATGAAAATTTTTTTTAAAAAACTGTTTAACCAGTAGCTTCATGTGATGGACATTTGGATTATTCCCAGTCATTTGCGATCATAAACAGTGCTACAACAATTATCACTGTACATAACATCCTACAGAATAAAGAATTCCTAAAAGTAAAATTGCCAAGTCTATTTTATCACACTTAAACCTTCAATAGACATTAACATATTTTCTTCCAAAATATTTTAAAATTTACATTCTCAGTAATAATATACCAGACTCTTGTCTATCACACGCCCTGACTTTATCAGTCTGAGAGGTAAAAATGACCTGTGGGAGTTTGTGTTTCTTTATTATGAGAAAAGTTGAGCGCCCCCCTCCCCAAATGCTCTGCTCAATTTTCTATAGGGTTGTTGGTTTTCTTCTCACTGGGCAGTCTGTTTTTTAAACCAGAGAGCCCTGAGTTACTCACTAAGCCTTATATGAGCATTTGGATCTGCCTCTTGGTTGATCTCACTTAAAGTCTCATTAGCCTGTGCAAAAAGGTTTTACTATAGTAATTTTATTCAAAATGATGAACAGTACAAATTTGATCACTGCAAGGATCCGTTAGCACTCATGCAACCCTATCTGCCATGCTGGGAATGAGAGTTTATTGCATCATAAAAATGTTACCCTCTGCTTGTGTTAGGCAAGTATTGAAATTTTTATGAGCTCTCCCTAACTAAAGTTATCAATAAATAACACTCGATTCTTGACTGGGCTAATCCTAGATTGATGTGACTTATTTGATAA